GCGGCGGCGGCGGCGGCACCGCGTCCCGGTGCAGGGCGGGCCTGTTGCCCACGGGAGGCGGCGGCGGGGGAGGTTTGTCGTCGATGGCCCTGGTCGGGGTAGGGGGCAGCGGGGGCCGGTTGGAGAAAGGCGAGGAGGAGCCCGAGGGTGTCTGCCGGAAGGAGCCACCTCCGAAAGCGGCACCTCGGTTTCCAGGGACGGGGGGAGGCGTCGGCCCCGGGCTGGGCTGCCTGGGAGCGCCGGGCACCGGTGGGGACCCCCGGTTGTGCAGACTGGACTGAATGGGTCTTGGCGTGTTCGGTACCGGAGGGGGGATGCTATCGGGCTTGGAGCCCACGTCGGGCCTCAGGGGAGGCATTCGGTTCCTCTGAGGCTCCGGGGGGCCACTTCTGTAGCTGGGAGAAGGCACAGGGAACCTCCCTGGGCCACTTGAGGGTGAAAAAGGTTTGGCCGACGTGGCTCTTCCTCCTGGCGGCAAAATCGGAGGTCGGCTTCCTCCAGAATCTAAAGAACAGGAAAAACAAACATCCCGTAAGAAAACAGGAACCCTAAAGAAATCAGACATCTGGGGCATATTCCCTGGAAATTCTAATTTCTTAGAGTGCTACGGAAGGTGGTAACTGTGACTATTAACGAGGGTCCTGTGTGGTCTTTCTGGAGGCAGAGGACTAGACCACAGCTCGGTCTGCCTTCCAATCCCAGTGCTACAGCCATCAGATTTCAAAAGGATTTGGGGGGCATTATGTACAGACAAGAACCAGGAGGAAATCGGTGAGAGTTCTGGAGCGATCCCTAGTCACTATGAGAGGACAAAAACAGGATGGCATTGGTAGATGGTTTTTTTCCTAATGATTTTCATTTGTCCCCAGCACCATCTCTGTGCCCTGGTCCTTACATGTCTCAGGTTTGAAATAAAATTCAGGTGTGTTAGATGTGAAACTCAGTTATTCCAATGTAAATGTCCATGTGCAAGGGCTTACCTAGACTCTTTGAAGAGAAATGCCCATGAAAACATGGAAAAATCTACTGGAAGAGTTTTGAGTGCAATAAGAAAAACTATGGGCTGGCTGTGGTGGCACAGCCTATAATCCTAACACTCTGGGGGTTGAGGGGAGCAGATTACTTGAGCTCTGGAGTTTGAGACCAGCCTGAGCAAGTGTGAAACCCTAACTCCACTAAAAAATAGAAAAACTAGCCAGTGTTGTGGCGTGTGCCTATAGTCCAGCTCCTCATAAGGCTGAGACAAGAGGATCGCTTGAGGCCAGCAGTTTGAGGGTACTATGAGCTATGACACCACAACACTACCCAGGGTGACAGAGTGAACATCAAAAAAAAAGAAGAAAAGAAAAGAAAACTCCATGAAAAGAAAAAGAAAATTGTCCAAGTAAATTTAATTAACAGCGGCAACACCAGTGGATAGAATTCATCTGCAAAGAAGCAACTACACAACCTTTTTACTTTCCTGGGCCAACTTCCACTTCAATATTGGCAGGATAGAACAGCCCTGTGACCACTTGGGTTCAACAAAGGGAGGAGCCAGGAAACAAACAATGTGGACAATTTCAATCTACCACCCTAGAATCTCTTTGAACCCAAGGTAATTCTCAATATTATCCTTGGCCTTAGAACATCTGTCTGCCACCTCAGTTGTAAGCTAATTAATGTATCAAGTACTTACTGAGCACCTACTATGCACCAGCCATTATTCTAATGCCAGAGATAGAGGAGCAAACAGAAAAGATCCTCCAATCCTATTGTTTACATTCTTGTGGGGGAGATAAAACAATGAACTAGTAAATACATATTTTCAGAGAATTGTTATGTATTAAAAAGAAACTAAAATAGGGTGATGAGCTCAAGAGTACCTGGAGAGGCCAGGACAGATGGGGTGCTGGGGACAACTCTTTTGAATGTGATGTAGGAGCTAAGGCCTGACAAGAAGGAGCGAGCCATGGAAATAAGAGGAAGAGAGGCTGGTGAGTGCAAAGGCCTGGAGGTGGGAATGAGCTTCAAGTTCAAAAACAGAGACCCATGTGCCCAGGGCCTGAAGCCTGATGGGCCAATAGGGGCTGGGTACAAAGAGCCTTGTAGGCTACAGAAGGAGTTTAGATTTTATCCAAGCCACAGTAAGAAGCATTTGGACAGATTTATACAGTGAAATAACATGAATTACACTATAGAGTTTTTTTTTTTTTTGGCTTTAGTACAAGAGAAAAAGCTGTATTTTCCTTGACTATGTGGTATATTTCTATGTCATCGGGTTAAAGCTGCAGTTACTGTCCATCTTAACGTGTTGGGGGTCTTTGGCTACACCCTTTGGTGCACTAACTTCAATTTCTTCTTCATTTTATTATTTTTATTTGTCTTTGTCTTTTGACTCAATGTCCTCACCTACTGCTAAAATACTGAATGTGTATATTTGTCAGCTGCCTCACATCCTTTTGGTCAGCTTTAGATAAATAAATTTAAATTTAAACACTGGTTGTGGCCAGATACACTCTCGTGCATCACTGAGTCTCTTTCCAGATTTTCACTATTTAGCACTAAAATAGTTAGCTAAACCCGAGGCCAGTAACATCATATGAGCATGAGAGTTTCACTTTCCCAGAGGACAGCTTAAGGGATCATAGAATTATTAGAATTAGAAATACAGTTTTTTTTTTTTCTTTGAGACAGAGTCTCATCCAGTCACCCTGGATAGAGTGCAGCAGCAGCAGCATAGCTCACAGCAACCTTAAACTCCTGGGCTCAAGGGATCCTACTGCCTCAGCCTCCCAAGTAGCTGGGACTATAGATGCCCACCACAACACATGGCTAGTTTCTCTCTGTCTCTCTCTCTCTCTTTTTTTTTTTTAGTAGAGCTGGGGCTTTACTCTTCTTGATCAGGCTGGTCTCGAACTCCTGAGCTCAAGTGCTCCACCAGCCTTAGCCTCCCAATGTGCTAGCATTGCAGGTGTGAGCTATCACTCCTGGCTTAAGAGAAAAAGTTCTAACATGATTCAACATTACCCCCCAAAAGTTTCACACTAAAACTTCCTGAGCTTCTGCAGTAGTCAGGAGAGAGCCTCATGTGCTCTGCAAGGTTTTTTTATTTAGGCATGACCAAGTTCAACTTCTTGTAACCAGCACTTTCAGAGATAATCCTATAGAATTCATTTTCAAGGCTCCTTGCAGAGATTACTAGAATACCAAATGTCTGTCCTGCAAAGCACCTTTTCACATTTATTAAAATTTGTAATTATATTCCATATGATGTACTCCATAGTGTGTTTGAGAAGTAGCTCGCAGGTATTTTAGTATACTAGACAGCTGGGTCAGGCTACCTCTCAAAGAAAGTGGAATCTGCCAGGTCACCCAGCAGTGCTGGGGCAAGTTCCATTTGTTCCTTTTCTTTCCATTGTACTATAGGTTACTACCACAGACACTGGGCACCTACTTCATAGCTCTATAAAGGTGTCTGATTTTGATTAATAATTTAAAAAGCTAAACAGAGTTTCTTTTATGAAACAGTGATAACGTTTCTGATGATGTAAAATGTTTTAAAGGGTACAGAGGCTACACCAAGCCTCCAAACCACCAAACTCTGCTTGGTCTTCAGTGATTGAGAGAAGGAAACTCTTCTTACCATTATCCCTGCTGGCTGTGGATCTCAGCTTCGGCATTCCAGACTGGAATAGTCCTCCCAACCCGGGAGGTCCACCTCCTCCAAAATTGCTGCTGCCGCCGCCGCCACCACCAGCGCTGCCACCTCCTCCGCCAAATCCACTCCCACCACCAGCACCAGCTCCTTTAGGCTCTACAGGGGGAAGAAGAAAACACCCACCAAGTACTGCACCAGTTCCGGCCCAAGTAAATCATAAAACAGTGATAGAACAGGGAGGTGGCTGAACCTAGCCCTACGCTAGAGAACTGACATTTCTTCATTCACATGCCGGATTTTAAGGGTTCCCTTCCCCCTAATCAGAACTGGAGGGCTCTCTTCCCACTGCAGGGCAATTCTAGGCCCAGTGGTAGAAGAAATAGTAACAAAGAACAATTTGTCCCCATCCCACTCACCCCTTCACCAGCTGCCATATGGGTTAATATCTATTTGTTCTATATCCTAAGCTTTGGCAAATAAAAAGATCTTCAAAGAAAGCTGGTTCTGGCACATTGTACAGGGGTACATGTTAAATTTACCAAATGTAGAATATAAGTGTCTTAACACAATAACTAAGAATATGCAGTGAAGGCTACGTTAAACCAGTTTGATGTAAGTATTTCAAATGGTATATAAAACCAGCACATTGTATCCTATGATTGCATTGATGTACACAGCTATGATTTAATAAAAAAAATTTTAAAAAGCTGAGTTATAATCTGAAAAAAATAAAGAAAGCTGGTCCTAAGGGAGATGAAATAAAAGGTAAGAAG